GGAATGGAATATATCAGAATATTACCATAAATCGATTTCCAATCACATAAGATATATTCCGAATTTTTAGTCAAAGATTGAGATCCATTTTTGATATAGTAAACATTCGAATTGAAAAAAAATCCTACTTCTAGCAAAATTTTATCTCTTTGAGTTAGCTTTCCAACACATTTTAAATCAATGCAATCGGATATTGAAAGAAATTGTTATGATCCAAATAATGAGTGCTGTGCAAAGACAAAAAAAATCACACTTGAAGGTAACTTCCCTTATTCGATTGGAACTCTTTTGGAAACCAATTTGAACATGATTTTAACCAATTTTCGACTCCAACAAATATATAACAGTAGAATACATAAAGAAAACCTCTCCTACATCTCTTACACGCACACACACGCACACACACACACACCCCAATATTGATCAATTATTATAATCAAATGAGGAAATTTCATAGTTTTTGTGAGAAATTCGGATGAGACTTATTGTTCATGCAAGTGGAGATTCATCAGGAAACCATTGAAGAGATTCAAGATTTCAAGATTCATATTCATCTTCTCAATTTATCAAAAATTCAAGTTATGCCTTTCCACTTAAATATAATTTTTTGAAATTTCAAAATGTTAGGCTAGTTTTATACATTGCTAGAATGAGATGAATTCTTTTTATGATATTTTTAGTTTTTAATTAATTATTATGAATTTAACTTAGTTTTATTTGTGGATGTTTATTATCGTTTTTACCGTTCTTTTTCAATTACTTGATCACCAATTCAATTGTTAGTTGATTTTATTTTTATTGAGATAAGCAATAGGGATTAAGCGCAATATAATAATATTATAAGGTTCGATAGAGGATATAGATGTATTTATACTTTATATGGTTTCAATAGATATTCTAGCACTTGTTAATGCATATATCATGTTTGCATCTTTCATCGAGAGATAGAATGATCACATGAATGGAATAAATTTGATCACTATCGAGAGAGACTTTCAATTAAATTAGAAAAATTGACCAATATGAATGATTCTAAATTGTCAATTTAATTCTTACACTAAAAATGGAATGACAAGAGGGATTTGACATCTTAGCAATACTTTCACATATTGAAAAAACCCACCAAATCACTTTCTAGTTTAATTGATAATTTACATATTAGTTCGAAAAATTACAACAACTTGTTTGATATTCAATTAAAGTTGCAATTAATCTTACTTGGTCAAATATATAGTCATCGTAGGTTCGATACTCTATTTATTACTTTATTATTTGTTCACGATCCCGTTCACTTGCGGGAAATCAAACGATCAAGTTTTTTACGACATTGTTGAGGACTATTGTTTTTGATAAGTTTTAGTTAATTTTAACTTTAATCTGAATTTTATTTTATTTTTCTTAGCTTAGTTCATTAATTTAGAAAAAATTTACAGTGTTTCTTTCTTCATTTTTCAGGACATTGTATACGAAGTTCGAGAATCTAGAGATCTTGCTCAAGTTGACCCAGAGATTGAACGAACATTCTACCTTCGAAAAAGACAAAAACACACCAAAAATAGAAAGTGAAAGTCATGGCAGAGGAAAATTCGAATTAAATAGCCATTGAGGCTATCTTGAAGTAGCACAGCTGCATGAAGTTGCAGCCAATGAAAACATTGGTTGATGGGAGGGTATATGATTCCAGCGGTCGTTGAGAGCTAATCCAGTATCAAATATTCGATATTTGATCAACCAAATTTTTGCTTGAGGATTGATGTGATCAACATGTTCCAAAATAAACTACAATTCTTTGGGAGATCTACCGAAAATCCTAATGCTCGTATATTAAGATTTTTGGACATATGTGCAACAATAGAATACCCAGGGATTTCAACTGAAGCAATCCAGCTGAGACTTTTTCCATCCACTTTGAGAGATTTAGCAAGAGAATAGTTAGACATTTATTTACCTCAAAGTATTACTACATGGAACCAATTAAGTCAAAAGTTCCTGAGTAAATATTTCCCACTAAAGAGGATTACAAAGCTAAGGGATGAGATTACCACCTTCCAACAACTAGACTCAGAATGCTACTCAGAGGCATGGGAACGATACAAGGGTTTACTCTGTCAATGCCCATAACACTGACTGCAAAAATGACTCCAAGTACATTATTATTACATTGGTCTAAACCCAATTAGCCGGGTGAACGTAAACTCTGCATGCAATGGTTCGATCATAAAAAGAACTTCAGATCAAGTCTACCAAATAATGGAAGATTTGATATTCACCAATGCACTTTGGCCTACTAAAAGGATGAGTGGACGGAAAGCAGCTCGACTATTCGAAGTTGACTCTCTAACAACAATTTCAGAATAGTTGGCATCACTAGCACATAAGGTGGATCGAATGAGTGCAACACAGACAATGGGACTGAAATGCAAACATTGTGGTAGGAAGCGCAAAAGTGTTGGTTGTAATTTATGGTCTCATTTTGTTCAAACAGTGGAGGATGTGAACTATACTCAGAATTTTCAGAGGCAGCAACACAATCTTAATCCAAGCACCTATTTCCTAGGCTGGAGAAATCACCTAAACTTTTAATGGAGTAATAATCAGGGGGCTCAAATCGAACCATAACAGACTGCGCGTTAGGTTTTCCAGCAAAATGAAAAGATATCTTCATTAGACGATCTTGTGACTAAGTTGGCAGAGATCTCTACTCAACACATGCAAAGCACAGACAAGAATTTACAAGTTCAGGGAGTTGCCATCAAGAATTTAAAAAATTAGATGGGATAAATAGTAAAAGCACTCTCAGAAAGAAAACAAAGAGCACTACCAAGCGACACTGAGATAAATCCTAAATAGTAGGTAATGGCAGTAAAAGTTGTAGAGAGCGAGGAGATTGAGGCAATCACTACACGCAGTGGGACTCAACTTCCAAAAATGAAAGTCGAGAGATGGGTAACATTAAATAAAAAGGTACATTCAAGCAAGTGAATATATATGAAGTAGTTCCATATCAAATGTCAGAAAATCTATATGTTAAGGCAACCTCTCTTATCAAACCTTATGTACCTTCAATCCCATTTTCATAGAGATTACAAAAAGGAAGCTTGATGATCAATTCGAGAAATTCTAGGATATTCTACAGAAGTTTCACATCAATATTCCATTCATCAATGTAATCAGACAGATCTTGAAGTATGTAAATTTCTCAAAAGACATGATATCTAAGAAAAGAAAGCTTCCAGACTGGGAGGAAGTGGCATTGACCGATCAGAGCAGTGCGAGATCACCAAAACTAAAGGACCCAGTGAGTTTCACTTTACCCATTCACTAAGCAAAGAATTTCTTTTGAATACTTTATGTGATACGTGTGCAAGTGTTAATCTAATGTCGTTGTCTACTTTCAGGGAACTAGGAGTTAGGAAAGTCCAATAATTGAATGTGACGCTGCAGCTGGAAAATAGAAGCATCAGATACCTATCGGGCAATGTTGAGGATGTGCTCATCAAGGCTGGAAAGCTTATATTCCCAGCAGACTTCCTTGCTATGGATATCGAAGATGATCCTAGGTCGACCATTCTTAACAACAAGTCGAACATTGATTGACATGGAGAAGGGCGAACTTATAGAAAGGGTGGAGAACACACACGAAGTCTTTGAACTATACAACCCATCCAAGCAAATAGCAAGCCCTGAAGAGGCCAAAATTTGTTGTTGAAAGAGGCCAACAAGACTCGAAGGGGACAGAGTCTAAACATATAGGGAACCTTGGACGAGGAAAGAATGGAGAGTTCAAGGTTTGGAGGGCAAAAAGAGGATGTAAAGCTGGAAATTTCAAGGAGTGTAAGATTGTACGATTCCTGTATGAACACCCATGATCAATTCCTCCAAATAGCCTAGATAAAGACTATAAATTAAGCACTTATTCGGAGGCAACCCAATTTTCTAACCCTTTTATTTATTTTTACTTTATGTACCACATTGCATATAGATTTATGTAGATTATTAGATTGCATTAGATTTAGGCACATTTGTATTTATAGGGTATCACCATCCTTTCATGTTTCACCTTAGGCCCTTGAAGTTATGGTTGGCTATTTCGATTATTTGGGCTAAGTAACACATGTTCTAAATTATTTGATTTTTAATGTTTGATTTAACCGCTATATGCAGGAATATAACGTCGCGTAACACTCTAACCAACATTGACCAAGGAAAAAGTAGGATTGTCTAGCCGTCATCCATAGTGTCTTCCACATTTAACATACAAATTCGGGAAATACCTTTTTCCTTTTTATCCCTGTTCCCTTATATTCTTACTTTTGCTTTAGGACATTGTAGATAATATCGGTTTTAAGTTTGGGGGTAGGAAATACTTTGAATATTCTTTTTTGGGTTTTCTTATGTTTTTGTGTGTTTGCTTTAATAGATTAAAAAAATGGTTTGACAATAGACTACTTGATTATCCCTCATATCATATGTATGGTAGAGGATATGGTATTTTCATTTTTATCCTCTCCCACTACTACTACGATGGACTAAATAAAGATAATTTATTTGCTTAAAAAAAATCAATACACTTTTGTGTATCTAGTTCATAGTCAAAGTCTCATATTTATAAAGAAAAATTAGGGCTATAAGGATTCCCGTTCTTGTCCTCTTCCACTACTTGAGTCAATTGAAAAGAAAAAAAATGAATATAGAATTTACACAATATAATATGTTAAAATAAATTTTACTAAGTAAATAATAAGAGAGTATTTAGCTATTATTATATCTTTTTAGGTTATTTTAATTATCTCTTCTACCTAAATAGCTAATTACTTTCTTGTTAAACTCATTCCAAAATGAAGATCTCAATTCTCATAACAACATGTGTACATCATCTTGAATTCTTCCTATTCTCATTAACAACCTTTATACATCTGCAAATATTTGACATAAAACTAAAGAACAAAGGATTATATTAAAATTTCATGAAATTCAGAGACATAAAAAATGACTAGATCTACCAAGAATTACTCATTTGAATCATTTCAAAACACTAAACAATTTAACCAATAAATGTAACATATTGAAAATGAAAATAAAAACAGTTCATACGTCGGAGGAGGGGTGACCTAGAGCTAAATGAGTAAAATCATCGACTAGACTTTACACTTTATTCTTCATAATTATAATCTATTGTCGCCATATGCCAGGGATTGAAAACTCACCCCATTGTTTCTTCCCTCTTCTTCTCTCTGTTTCTTCTCTTCTTCACAATTTCTCCTCGTGGAGTGTGTACAGATGCTGAAAAACAAAGCATATTAATTTGCCAGACATTGTAACTATAGCATATATGTTAGAGTAAATTCTGTGAAATGGAAGAAATCCTACATACCCGTATCACTAATTGAAGAAATTGGAAATGTCAATAAATTCGTCGTCTCCTATCTGTACTTAAGCTTCGGTGCATTTAGCTGTCCCGAACAAAATTTTGTCATCATAGGGCAATCTTCAATTCTCAATAGATCAAGTGAAGGGAGCACATCTTCATAATTATGAGAGCAAAACATTTTGAATCTTGGAAGTCCGATTAGTTCTATACGCCTCAATTCATGGAACACAATATTGCTAGTCATTCCTTTGTATCACTAATTGAAGAAATTGGAAATGTCAATAAATTCGTCGTCTCCTATCTGTACTTAAGCTTCGGTGCATTTAGCTGTCCCGAACAAAATTTTGTCATCATAGGGCAATCTTCAATTCTCAATAGATCAAGTGAAGGGAGCACATCTTCATAATTATGAGAGCAAAACATTTTGAATCTTGGAAGTCCGATTAGTTCTATACGCCTCAATTCATGGAACACAATATTGCTAGTCATTCCTTCTTTAACCACTTCTTCTTTTTCTCTTCCAAAGACTTCTTCAATTTCGCCACAAAAACTGACACACAGAGTTTCTAAAGCCATAAACGAGTTAATCATAGAAGTCGGGAATAAGTACTTCAACCTGGTACATGATTCAACATCAAGACATTTCAAATTATGGAAGACACGGATTCCTTTAGGAACCATCCTCATAATGTACACCAAGTAATCATCTTTCCTCAAGCATAATAATTTAAGTTGACCAAGTATACTGATTTCTTCTTCATAGTCTTTATTAACATTTAGACCCTCAAAGTCGAATATAACATTTAATGCCTAATGTAGGAGGATCCGAATCGAGTGATGCTGATTTGTCAGATAGCACGATGATGGCGCTGAGATACCATGAGATGGCAGATCGGCGCAAAGATGGAAAGTGAATCACAATTATTTCCTTAATTGGGGGAATTTGACGCGTATTTGGTAATTTGGCCATAACTTTGGCTACGGTTATCTAAATCGCTACTATGACCCCAATTCGGAAAGCTCTCTTCGCCGCGCATGTCGTGGCCACCCAACTATGCTCAGTAGATATCAATTTTGAGCCCAAAATCCACTGTTTTCCTTTCCAAAATTCAATTTTAAGTTATTTTTTGCTATTTATGGTAATATTTTGTTTCCATTTTTCCATATGTTAGAAAACTTGAATTGAGCCAAATTTTTGGCAACCTACTTCTTTTACTTAATATTTTATTCTGGTATAATTTTGGAATTTTGCCATTTTTGGTAATTTTTCCATAATTTAATATTTCGCAGCTATTTAACCCGGCTTGTGGGTTAATTTTGGTCATTCTGCATTATTAATAATATTGAGTTGATTTCAGAGTATTTTCTCTAGTTTATGGGCACTTTCTATCATTTCTTTCTTGCGAATCATCTGCTACAATAAGCTAATAGGATAATCACTATCCTACTCGGCGTCAGTTGGTATCAGAGCATCAGCATCTTCTTGAGAGATAAATTCCATCAGTTATAATGGATGGTGGACGTGGTCGTGGTCATAGAGGGCAGGATCCGATTGAGGAAGTCCCACACCGTGATCGTAATATTCGGGATGTGACGATTGAAGATTTGCAAAGACAAGTTGTAGAGTTAACCCAATGTTTGGCGAAGCAGAAGTTCGATAATCATGATGTAGAGGGTCACAATTCTGATACCAGTTTCGAAAACCTGTATCACCATCGTGCTCGAGTTTGGGAGCATCGTGGATGGGAGGATCATCGTGTGGATCTCGGGTTCAGAGTCGATCTGCCTGAGTTTTCTGATACGTTGTAGGCTGAAGGATTTATTGATTGGCAAATTTTTGAATATAAAGAGGTTCCAGATCGTGTCAAAGTGAAACTGGTTGCCATCAAACTCAAAGGTAGAGCATCTGCATGGTGGGAATAGTTGAAGCATTCACGGGAGCGGCAGGGAAAATCCAAAATTACTGACTAGGAGAAGATGAAGAAGAAGATGAAAGGGTATTTCCTCCCTTTTGGGCTATACTCAAACCTTGTTTTAGAGGCTCCATTCACTAAGGCAAGGTGCAAGATCAGTCAATGATTATACTGAGGAACTCAATGAGCTGGTGGCTTGGAATGATTTATCTGAGACGGAGGAATAGATGGTATCAAGGTATTTTGGGGCATTAAGACAGCCCCTGCAAGATGTTCTCAGCCTTCATTCATTGTGGACGGTTTCTGAAGCATATCAGCGGGCACTTGTAGTAGAGTAAGAGGCCAGTGGTCAGAGGTGAAGGAAGTCAGCCAGTTTACCCTCAAGAATCTCGTCCTGCTTATCAACCACAGTAGGACAATAGGAATAGTATTCAAAAATAGCTTTATATTCATTAGAAACCTATTCACCATAATTTATAATATCTTGTACCAATTTATTAAAAATGTCAAGATTGTCATCTAAATCTTTTGAGCGAACAATTTTGAAACTGAAGAAACTTTCAAGCAAGAAAAGTTTACTGGCATGGATTGAGTCAAATAAAGCTCATCAAGCTTTTTTCAAAGTTTTTCGACAGTGTCATGTTTGCTAACTTTTCGTAAAATAGTATTAGATTATTGCAAGATAATAGAGGTATAAACAAGTTCATCAAACTTATTTTTCTGATCTTAGCTAGTCATAGTCACGACAAAAGAATTATAAATGACCCTTGAAACTTTTTGTTGTATTAAAATATCTTTCATCTTTTGTTACCAAATAGAAAAATCNTCAGCTATACGGACTAAAAATGTTAATGTAACGACTGGACTGACACTTATTTATATATGGTACTTAAAGAATGCTTAATAAGCCAAGTAGCATTATTCGTGAAACGTCATGGGACTAGTAACTTAAATACTGATGAGTGAAATTGATATTGATGAGTAAATTGGTAGAGAGGGAATTGTTTAATATAGCTTGGACAAAAAATTTTGTCATCAATGTCAGTTTTTGTAAAGTGTGTAATTTGTGATCCAAAAATCT